AAGGCCCCGTAGCACAGTCGGTAGTGCATCGTACTTATAAAATAGAGTTATGCGAGGGTCGCGGGTTCGATCCCCGCCGGGACCATTTTAATTTATTTTAATCTATAATCATTTTTAAAGTAATTATGTTATTTTTATATTATAAAATTATTAAAATTAACACCAAATAACACACTGATGTTTTCAATGAACACCAACACTTTGTCTTCTAACATCGACTTCTTGTCTTTTAGTTTATATTGTTATGAAGTTAACAATCATTTTAATAAGTGCCTTCCTAGCTCAGTCGGTAGAGCGTGCGGCTTTTAACGGTAAGGTTGGGGGTTCTAGCCCCCCGGGGGGCGTTTTTATTATTTGATTGTAAAAACACTGAAATAATTACTATCATATATAATTACATATAGTGAGCATTTGTGGTCTAAGGGCAGAATTCCACACTTCCAAGGTGGAGATCCGGGTTCGAGTCCCGGCAAATGCACTTATTATTTATTTGAAACTTCACTTTATTTTCGATTGTTAAATGATTAACACAATTAAGTTAGTTTTCATCGTTTGTATATGAAATTTTTAGATGAAACAAATTATGGTTATTTTAATCATACTTTCCATTTAATAGAACATATTTTTAAACTTATTTATTTCAGAAAACCATTTTATTGTTATTACTCATAATAATAAAACTATAGATGTAAGATTATTTCATATATGAATTAATTGTATATTCGTTTTGAAACACATAAAATGATAGATATAAATAATTTTTATGGTAAAAATAAAACACATTGATTTATTCAAAAATGAATGTTGTATAATGATAACATATAGATTATATTTATCAAATGATACAGAAATCGAAATATATTCTATATAGCAAATTCAAAAAATATAAAATTATTGTTTTATAATAATTATCAACTAAACAATAAAATTTGTTATAATGTATTTATAGAATTAAATTTTTAAAGGCTAAACTTTTGTACAAGAAAAGTGATTACACAAAAAACTAAAAACGAACAGAAAGTGATTAAGTCGAGGTTTTATCATAATGATTGGAATGTTTAAAATATTTCATTTTTATAAATAAATAACATATACATCATATAACAGTACATAATTTTTATTATTTCGTTTTTTAAAAAATTTACTCTCGTGTTGAATTCATTTGATTGTTGAATTTCAGTCCTTTTAATATTTGACTAACAGTCTCATTGCCAAGTGTAACTTAAGTATAACCGGGTAGCGAGACAACCTTTGTTGCCCTTTCATTATTTTTTTTTCAGAATAATAATAGTACAACAACATTATATGCTACAGTTTCATCCACAACCTGGCTTTTACCAAAATTTAAACGGTTAATGCCGAAGCCCAAAAATGCTTCGGTGTTATTTTATAGAATGTTTCTTCGTTTTTTAAAATACGTTTATATGGGAAAAAGTTAACACCAGCTCCCTGTTTTTTAAAACAAAAACGAGGCAAAAATTAATACGCCCAATTGTGGCTTCATCTATGTCTATATTTTTGTTGATCTCCTTTTCATTGAAAAGTTTTGTAGTATCTGCACAACCTTTGGAATAAAAGTTGATCCACCAATCAGCACAACATCAGCTATTCTCCCTTTGTCCAGTTTGGAGTCTTCAAACACCTTCTCGACAAGTGTTATTGTTGACTTGAAAATGTCGATGTTTTGTTCTTCAAAACGCGCTCTTGTAATTGATGTGTAGAAGTCTATGTTTTCATACATATATTACAACTAATATACTTTAATGTTTGCTGTTGCTACAGATGATAGTGTTCGCTTTGCCCTTTTACGTGATGTTCTTTGTCTTTTGACTTCTCGTGCATTACTCGATTTATCTTTTTGTACTTTCTCTTGAACTCAGCAATGAAGTTGTTCACCATTCTTTAATCAAAGTCTTTAATACCAATATGTGTGTTGCCGTCTGTTGCCTTAACTTCAAAGACATTATAATCAATTACAATAAGTGACATATCAAATGTTCCAAATTCAAAATCAAAGATCAAGTTCTTTTCTCTCTCTGTTTTCTTGTCTTGTCCATATGCTATTGCTGCTGTTGGCTCAATAATTATTCTGAGCACATTGATGCCTGCAATTGTGCCCGCGTTTATTGTTGCCTGTCGCTGTGAGTCATTGAAATAAACCGGAAATGTGATGACTGCGTTGTTGACTTTCTTACCAACAAACGCCTCTGCTGTATTATTATACTTATTCAGCACCATCAAAATGATCTTATCTAGTGTTAATTTCTTGATATCTTCCTTGTACTACATTTTTTTAAGGTTTATCGTTGTTGTCGTTGACGACAATGAATGATCGGTGCTATATATTTTCTTGTATTGTTGGATCACTGAATCTTTTTCGAATCAATTATTTTGCATCAAACATATTATTCTTAACATTAATGCTATATGGTGCTTAGTTGCATCATCAATCAGCTATTCAATTTATTGTTATGTAAAGTGAAACATACAATGGTATTGTTCTATTTTCTCGAACTTTTGCGATTTCTTAAAAATGCATTTTGCATGATTTTTAATTATAGAGTTTAAAAAGGACAGGATATCTTATCCACAACAGTTTATTATTTTTATTCTAATAAGACTAAGTGTCAATCATTTTACTACCAAGAAAAAAATTAGATAAAAACGTGCATTGAGCTCTTGTGCTGTTGTCGTGTTCAAACTTGGTACCTTTTTAAGAGAAAGCACAAGCATTTCCAAATATCTATAAAAAATTGACAAGTGCATATCCTGATGGTGATAATCACAACAAAAAAGCACACGAAAATGTCACACAACCGCCATTTTTTAAAGCAAAGACTAGTTAAATTTTATAAAATTTTTATTATAATAAGTTATTTTTTAAATAGTTTCGTTATTTTTAAACATTATCAACAAGAACTCATAATGTACCTTTTAAGTGTTAATTCATTTGATATTTACAATTAACACATATTAAAATTATTAGCATTTATCATAAAATTTAAATATAATGAAACATTTTGAAAATATTGTGTAAGGGGACTTAGCACAACGGTAGTGCATTATCAACCAATATCACAGTTTTCAGATAAAAGATGTTGGGTTCGACTCCCATAGTCTCCATTTTTATTTTTTTAAAAAAATTGTTAAAATATTAAATAAATATAAATTAACAATTAATAACGATATGTATTAAAAGTATTAACTAAATAATCGGTATTAACTTAACACACCCATTTTCCTATTAATAGAGTAATATAAATAGAAAAATATTTAATTAAAATAACAATTTGTGTTGGATAAAGTTTCAATAGGTGATACTTGGTTATTATTGCCATCAAAAACAAAAATAACACATTTAAATCACAATCACTTTTTAAACTTTAACAAATGGTATTTTCAATTATTCACATTACAAATTACCAACATAACACTATTAACTCTTTAAATATATAAACAACAAAAATTGATATTCATGCAAATGTGATTGTTGAATATAATTTCCAATTGAAAATGATTGTTAATGAATTGTGATTCTCTGTTATTGATTGTAACTGATGTGTAATTTGTGTGACATTTTATTGAAACAAAGAAAATTTATTAATATAATTGTTATTAATTTAATTGTGTAACTACTTTTATATACACAAAGTATAAAAAAGTATACTTTTTCGTCTAATATCTTTTTGTTAATAATTACATATAAGCAAGATATTATTTACATTTTTAACTGTTGTTTTATTGTTTTTCATATTTAAACACACATCAGTAAACATATGTTTTTTTATTTACACACCAATATTAATGATAAAGTTGAATAAAAGCATTTATTTAATATTAATTATCAACAATTTAACAACAACATTTTATGTATATTGTTATATTGTTTATTGCTACACTTTTCATTTGAAAAAAATACAATTAAAATGTGGTAATTTTCACTGTGTAACATGTAACAACAAATTATTACTTAAAATGATAAAACGAAAATCAAAATGTTATCATATTTTACAACAATTTTAGGGTCAGACTTGTGGCTCGTGTGTACCTGCACAAAAGATATTAAAATTAATTTCTTGTAGTTCTAAGGATTTAAAGTAATAGATCAAGTACAGTTCGTTTTTGATAAATTCATATTCATTTATTTGTATTAAAATAAATTAAAAACATTAAGCTGTATTTCAACTATTATTTGACAATGGTTTTGTTAAAAGCGGGATATTTCAATTATATAAAAAACAAAAAGGAATTATTTTACCATGGACAAATAATTGTTAAAATAATTATTATCAAGACTTTAATAATCACAATTAAGTTGTGTTTTGACAACGTTTGTTTAATATTTA